GGGAGCGCCGCCGCGCTTCCCAAGCGGCGCACTATCCAGTGTGCCACCGGCCGGCCCCTCTTTCATTTTTCTTTTCACTTTCTTGATGATATTCTTTGAGCCACAAAAGTTTTTAATTTTGATGATGTTCAGTTTATCCATTTTTTCTTTCGTTGCTTGTGCTTTTGAAGTCACGCCTAGAAAACCATTGCCTAATCTAAGATCATGAAGATTTTCACTTATGTGTTCTTCTGAGAGTTTTATAGTTTTAGCCCCCCTAGTTTAGTCTTGAGGCATCCGAGGTGAAAGTTTGATGGGACCCAGAGCCCATGCTGGGTGGAAGGGGATGCTGTGGGGTGTGAGAGGAGGAGCATCTGGCAAGCAGGAGTCACCTGGATGGGACCCAGCTGGGAGCGGACAGCTACACTCCTAGGTTCAGTGAAGACGCCTTTGAGGAAGGGGGCAAGTGGAGAAGCATCTGGAGGACAGGATGGGGGTCTTTGGAGTTGGTTTCTGGGATGAGAAAGTCTGGGGCACATCTGTGAGAGTCTGGAAAGGGACTGTGAAGTGATACACTCTCCTCTGCTGTCCATTCCTCGCCCACCTCCTGAGCTTTGGGGTCCAATGCCCCCGGGGTCAGGGGTTGAACCGCACAGGAGGGTCCAGGGCGGGGGCTGGAGAGCAGCCTCTCTGCTCTGCTGGGTGCTTCCAATTCTGTGACAACCACCATGAAGGGTCACACAGAAGCTGCATGGGCACCAAGCAAGAGCCCTGCCCATTTCCCTAAGGAGGGGGGGGACCTTGCCTGGGGTAGGCGGGGCCAGCTTTCATTGTGACTCCACCCTTCCCTGTGTCCTGGCCACACCCCCGTTAGTTTCATCTTTCTCATCCACCAATGGGCTATGAGCATTGAGGCCACACCCATTTCCCTATTACCTGGCACTGCCAGCTCCCACCAGCTCTGACCCAGTTGCACACCTGCACTGTTAGCTGAAGGAAGCAACTCCCAGTGCTTGGATGATGGTGATGTGGCCCCCCTTTCCTTTTCCCTGCCCCAAGATGTCAGAGGAAACCAAACAGAGGAAACTGGCTTGGCCAAGAATAAGGTATAGCATGTTGGGTCTCAGGCCCCAGACCCAGCCTGAGACCCCTCTGATGGTGGGACAGGGGCAGGACTCGGTGTCACTTCTGAGGCACACAGAGCTTGCCCCTCTGCGCCTCTTGACTCCCCCCACCAAAGTCTTCTCAGCCATCCCTGCCCCCTCAGCAGCCCAGCCCCTGCCCTCGCCAGCTGTCCCCTGTCATTACTGCCTGGAGCCCGGCCTTTGACCTAATGGCCCAGTCCCCTAAGTGTTTTCACCCTGTTTCCAGCTTCTCTGGTTGTGGCACAAATTTCCATTTGGGAGGTTACTCAGGGCTATGGGATCCAGGACCTGAAAAGCCTGCACCTCACCAGTGAGCTCAAAATGTTGACAATATCTCTGGGTGACAATTGGGAGAATGGGTTTGGTTTTGTTTTCTCTCAGGTTTCTACTCTTTAGAGACACTTTACAATTTATTTCTGAGTCTGTATCTCACAAAAGAATTCCCTAGGATTCTGGGACCAGAGCGCCTTTCAGTCAGTGCTCTCTGGAGGGAGATGTGCTTATCTTCTGTGGGATAAATCCTGGGCAACTGAACTTCACAGCTCGAATCTTGCCCAGATCATCTCAATCTGGGGTGCCACAGGACCCAGGGGGCCTCTTTCTGAAGCATCAGATTTGCTTGATTCTTTTGAGAGAGAAAGAAACCTATTAATGTACTTAGGGGTGACATTCGCCTAGATTTGTAAGATCATAATGGACTTCTCTCTGAAACAATGCTTGGGTTGTCCTCTTTTTGTTAGGTCCCCAGATTCCTAGGGGTGCCCTCACTTCTGCCATTAGGATACATTGATGTAAACATTTGAGAAGTACTGGGGTGCAGCTCTCAAAGCTCTGTGAGGGAGGCCCCGATGTCTGCTTTGTATATGGCCCCTTGGCAGCTGCTGATTCATGACAAAGCCCCAGAAGATTGAAGTTAAATTCCATTATTGCCTTTTCCTAATCATGTTATCAGTCCATTAGTGATCATTACAACACCTTATAGGGTTGCTGGTGGCATTAAATTGGATGGTATAAGTAAGAATATTTTGTAAAAACGGTAAAGTAGGGTGCACGTATAGGTGCTTACAGTTCTCCTGAATATTAGTGCTTTTCATTTTCACAGTTAAGAGAGTACTGATGGAGAAACAGCCCTGGTGGTCCTCCAGGAACAAAGAACGAAATGAAAACTGGCAGTAGCCCCAATTGAACCACATCTGGGGGTTGCCAGTTGCCTAAGGAGGTGAGTGTTGGCTGGTCAGGCTCCTGGGAACAGGGGGCTCCAAGGGGCAGTAGGGGGTAATGGTAATGATCATGGGAGAAGTGTCAGGGACTGGGTAAGAAGTCTGGGTGTGAATCCTGCCTGTCCCTCTGCTAGGGATATGACATAGGACTCTTCTCTGAGCTTCTCCCTTGAAGCCGTGCACACAAAGATGGACCATGAGCTTGGCTGTCTCATTGGATCCTGCTGCAGGAAGCACAGGATGATGCTGACAACACCAAGGCCCAGGGCTCAATCCCTGTACTGGCCACCGCCACTTAAAAAACAAAACAAAACAGGATAGGAGCTGCTCAGGAGGAGAGGGATGATGTGGGAGACAGACCATGAGAAGTGGGCACAGAGGGGCTACAGGAGGAGGGCCTGGTCCACGTCGGGCAGGAAAGAGACTTTTGCCAGTTGATGGGGAAGAAAGGACATAAGAGGGCTTAGCCATTGAGGGGGACAGAGCGTCTCCATGTTGCTCTCATCTCTTCTAGCCCACATCATACATCAGTGGGGAGGCTTTTGTGACATGACTGGGGAGGCCTTTGTGACATCAGTTTACATGAAGGAGCTGGAGGTAAGTGCCCTCTTGACCAGCTCCCATGGTGGGGGCTGCGACAGCCGCCACCCCCACCCCTAATGATCGCTCTCTCTACCTCTCCCTCCAGACCTTCCCCAACTCCTCCTCTCTGCACGCACCTCAGAGCCTGTACCTAGATCTGGCAATAGCCCGAGACTCCAGCTACATAGAAAACAAACATCGAAGGAACATGATCCAGGAATTGGTAAGAGTCTAGTGGGGTCCCTTGATTCCACGCTGCCAATCTTGGGCTCCAATTTCCCCTTGAGACACTGAAGAAAAGGGTTTGGGGGCCCCTGATGCCAAAGGAGAATGGGGTGCTGGGGGGCCTAGGTCTGAATGGGAGGGACCACAGACCACGCAGCATGGCTTTTTCTAGTGCTGCCCTGTCTGCCCACTCTCTCTTCTCTAGACACCCCTGCTTGAGTCCTCGCCACACATGCTCTGGGCTGTCCCCCTGCTGGAAACACTAAGCTGACTGTTGTCAGAAGCCCTGTGTTCCTGCTCTGACTTACTTCCTGCTTTGCTTTTTTTTTTTTTTTTTTTCTTTTTTGTCTTTTTTACTGACCGGTAACGGGATCGCAACCCTCAGTGTTGTGCCCGCACCGCGCTCAGCCAGTGAGCGGGAACCAGTCTCCACATGGGATCCAAACCCTCGGCGGGAGCGCCGCCGCGCTCCCAAGCGGCGCACTCTCCAGTGCGCCACCGGGCCGGCCCTGTCTTTACTTTTGGGCAAGCCACCTCTCCTATCTGAGCTTGAGTGTCGTGAGATAGAATTAGAGGGTGTGAAAGATACCTTCAAGCTCTAAGAATGAAAGATTTTTAGGTGCACATGAGATGTCAGGGAGACAGGGAGCTTACCTGTCTTTTTCATTCTTGGATCCCTGCTATTAAGCACGGTCCCAGTCCCGTAGTGTGTGGTTCGTGGTGAATACATGCACCCTAGTGAATCACAAGCTGGGAGAAGAGTACCCTTTCCTTTCTCAGCCTCCACTTCTAGAGGTTTCTGTGGTTATCCTTTAAAGAGAATCCAGATTCAGATATTCAGCTCTGCAGCTGTGAGTGAAAACCAACAAACACCCAAATTCTCTTTCCTTGGGAGTTTGAGGAGAGTTTGTCAATTTGCATCCCCATAGGGTGTGAGAGCTTTTCCTTGAAAATCCATTCCTGTCCCCTGCCCACCACTCTGGTCTGGGGAATGGAGCCAAGGGGGACAACCACAGTCACCTTCCTGTGGCTCTCCACCAGAAAAAACAGCACCAGGAAACTCTGGATCAAGCGGAAAGAGGAACATGATTTCTTTGTTCGCTCCTTCCATGGCTCATGGGTTTGGGGAAAGACTGAGATGGAGAGGCTGCAGGCTCGTCCTGCCCACTCCCAACCTGGAGAAGGCTCCCTCCTGCACCCCACCCTCAGCCCCACAAGGTCCCTGAGAATCTGGTCTCACTGGTGGCCCTGTCCTGGGCCATTGGTGGCATTCCTGGGGCCTGTCCCTTGCTGTTGCATCTCTGCCTCCCCAGTAAGAGATGTTTCTTTCCTTTTCCTACAGCAGGAGAGTAGGTGTCAGCAGGTGAATTCCCCGCAGGAACAACTGCAGGTGAGTGGACTGTATGGCATCCCTCAAGTGCCCTAGAGAACCTTTCTTTCCCTCTATCTCAGCACCTGTTTGGCTTTTCTCTCAAAGGCTCAGATTTGGACCACTGATGTCTTAATGTCCAAAAAGGCACAGTTAGAGAGAGCCCTGGCCAATGCTCACCATGTGGTCTGGCAGAAAGCAGGTGTGGATCTGGGCAGCCTTCCTCCCTCAACCTGGTGCCTTGGCAGACCTTCAGGGGAGTCCTTTGGGCTCCATCTTGACCTCTGTCATTCCAGGGAAGTGTGAACATCTGGCGAGCTGCCTGTGCTCATGTGAGTGCAGATAAAAGAGCTGCAGCGGAGTCTGACCGACTTCTCTGCATGGCAGAAGGAGGCCAAGAGGGTGAGTCCATCCACCTGCCCTCACGCTTGCAACTCCACCTCTGGGGGGAAATGGCCTTAGAGAATTAGATAGACCTGGATGTTCACATCCCAGCCGTAAGTGATGTTAGCACTTAACTTCTAATACTTTGTATTTCTTCTACAAAATGGAGATAATAATAGTAACCGCCTCCAATGGTGGTTGTGAGGATTCAATGGATTGTTAGTATGGCACCTGGTGACACACTCAATATGGAGTCAAACAACGGTGATGATAGTCGTAACAATGGCAACATGACCTGATATCGCTGGGCCTCTGTCAGCCAGCTGTAAATCAGATCTCTTTCCCTGCCTCTTCCACCCTTACTGAGTTCTTAGTAAAACCAACTGAGAACATGGGCTGGGCAATGCCTTGAAAAAGATGTCAAGTGTGATTCAGGGGGAGGAAGTGTGACTGCCGAATGGTTGCTGTAGGTGTCGGAGTTAGTGCCCCGACTACATCTCCCTGCTGAATCCTGACTTCACCTTTCTGTATTTGCAGTCCTACCGTGACTTGAAGAGAGAGCGAGATGCTCTCCACCTGCACTTGGAGAACAAGTAGGAGGGGGAAGGTGGATGGCGGGTTGGGGGGGCCTCAGTGTGGGCGATGTGGTGGGAGGTGGAGGGTTCAGGTGAGCATGACAAGGTGGATGCACAGGTTTGGACATGTGCAGAGCCAAGCTCTGGCCCCAGCTGTGCCAGTGACTCGTATGTGGCCTCAGGCAATTCATGTCCACTCTCTGGACTGGCACTTGTGACTCTTGATTCCTTGGGTCCCCTTCTTGTGCCATGATCCTCTGGTTGTGTGTCAAAGTCAGTGCATTGATCACCAAAGAAGTCCTTTCTGTTGCTTGTTCTTTCCAATCTCCACAACCTCTGGCCATAGGAACAACTATGGGGATCTCAATTGTCACCAGTCCCAACTGAAAGGGAAGCTTCAGGTCCTGGTGATGGAGAAGGCAGCCTTGCAACTCCAGATGAAAAAGCTTGAGGGCTGAGCCCGTGGTGCACTCGGGAGAGTGCGGCGCTGGGAGCGCAGTGATGCTCCCACCGCGGGTTCGGATACTATATAGGGATGGCCGGTGCACTCACTGGCTGAGCACGGTGTGGGCGACACCACACCAAGGGTTGCGATTCCCTTACCGGTCACGAAAAAGACAAAAAGAAAAAGAAAAAGCTTGAGACATCCAAGCTCCTGTCACAACAAGTGAGTGGCTGCAGCAGAGGGTTTTGGTTTTATGGGGGTGTAGTAGGGAGGGAGGTGGCAGCCTGTCCGTTCTGCAGCCGCTCCCTCCATGGCTCACCCCCTGTGCTCTGGGCAGGTGCATACTTCGAGGGAGGAACAGGGCCTGCATCACGTCCAGGAGCCACAGACCTGCTTGGCTGATGTAATTAGGTGGACAGGTAATCTGGGGCTGGTGTGGCCTGGGAGCAGGCAGGGGGAAGAGAACGAAGTATGTGCCAGCAGATGGCAAGTCTGCTCTTCTGAGCCTCAGTGTCCCCATCTGCAAAGAGGGGTGGAGTGCCCATTGCCAGCCACCCACAGTTGTCTTGAGGCCAAGAATGTGAAGAACTCTATTTGAAAGTGGTTTGAATGATTGACCATCATCTGGGCATGAGGAATGATTAGCTAGGAAGCCATGGTCTGGGATGAAGAGCCTGAATCAGGAGCTGTGGTTCAAGAAGAGGGTTTTTTGCAATTCCAGAGGCCAGAGGCCCTTATCTTCCAATTCCTTTCTCAGCTGAGCCTCCACCTCTAGAGATTCCAGCAGGGCCCAGTGAGGAAGAACGGCAGCTGTAGGTGGAGGCTGAGCAGCTGCAGAAGCAGGTGGAGAGCCTGGCAGGTCAGCTATGGCTCAAGTAAAGGACAACGAGGGTCCGAGTCACCTGTACCAGGAGCAGGAGGAGCGGCTGCTGGAGCTGGGGCAGCTGCTGGGCTCTGAGGCAAGCAGCACAGGCAGGTGCTGGAGGGCATGCAGTGCCACCATGCCACCACCAGCTCATGCTGTCCCAGGCCCGTGAGCTCCAGGAGCAGCTGGCTGAGCTGTACTGGCTTCAGCAGGCTGGTGCGCAACCTGCCCTGCCAGCCTGCCTCCACACTCGCCCCCTGGGCCTTTTTTTCCCCACCTGTAAACTGGGGTGCTGGAGACCTCACATGAAATGGTACCTGGGAAGGCACCTGTGAGCCAGTGCCCTGTGACCCTTTCCCTGTGCCATGGATCTCCAGCTGGGTCAGGTGGCCACCAATTGCTTCTCTCCACCAAAATTAATTTGAACATGGAGGTCACCAGAGCACTGCAGTTGGGGCAGCATGTGAAGATGGAGCTGGCTGAGAAGTTGGGCCAGAAAAGAAAAAAAAAAAAGAAAGAAAAAAAAAGGGGAGGGGGACCAAAAAGGAGAGGAAAACACCAAGAAGAAGGAAAAAACACCAAGATGATGGAGAAAACACCCAAAAGGTGAAAATGCCCAAAAGAAGAACAAAACACACATAAAAGGAAGAAAACACCCAACATAGGAAGAAAACACCCAGAAGAAGAACAACCCCCAAAAGGAAGAAAACATCAAGCAGAAGAAAATACACCAAATAGGAAAACACCTCAAAGAGGAAATCACCCAAAAGAGGAAGAAAACACCTTAAAAATGAAGAAAGCACCCCAAAGAAGTAGAAAACACCCACAAGAAGAAGAAAAGACCCAAAACAGGAAAACCTCAACAAAAAGAAGAGAACCACAAAATAAAGAATGCCCCCAAAGAAAAACCCCCAAAAGAAGACAACCCCAACAAAAAGAATGCCAAGAAAAGAAAATCCCTCCAAATAAGAAAACCCCAACAAAAGAAGAACCCCCCCAAAAGAAAACCCTAACAAAAAGAAAGCCCCCGTAAAAGAAGAAAAACAACCCAAATAGAACAAAAGCCCAATGAAAAGAAAACTCCAACGAAAGAAGAAAATCCCACATTAAAAGAAAAGCCCCCCAAAGAAAAATATACCCCCATGAAAACAAGAAAACCCCCCAAAAAGCCCCCAAAGAAGAAACCCCCCACAAAAGAAAACCCCAATAAAAAGAAAACCAAAAAAAGAGTGCCAAAAAAGGGAGAAAACAAAAAAAAAGAGGACAGAAAAATACAAAAAACAAACACAACCCCCCCCCGAAAAATACAACAAAGAAAAATAGTAAAAACAACAACGACAACAAAACAGAGAGAAAAGCAAACAACAAGAAAAAAGAAAGAAAACCACAAAAGAGAAACAACAACAACAACAAAAACATGAAAAAACAACAACAAAAAAAGAAAAGAAAGCAGCAGGGTGCCCTTACCAGTAGTCTAGCCTTGGGCTCATAGGAGAAGACCAGTACAATTGGTCTCTTGGGCAGGTAAAGCCAGGGGGCCCTAGGGTCAGGCCAGGGCTGGGGGGCCTTTAGTGCCAGGGCAGGCCAAGCATGGCCAGGGGGGTCATAGACACAGGCCACACCAGGGGGGCCCTTAGCACCAAGACAGGCCAGGGGGACCCAGGGACAGGCCAGTCAAGGGGGCACTTAGGGCACTTAGGGGTGTCCTTAGGGGCAGGGTGGCCCTTATGGCAGTGGTCCACTAGGGGCAGACCAATAAATGGGGGCCATGTGGCAGGCCAGGCCAGTGGGTTCCTTGGGCAGGTCAGGCCAGGCTGGCCTTTAGCTGTAGGAGGCCCTTGGCAGCATGCCTGGCCAGGGAAGCCCTTAGTGGCAGGTGAGGGCACAGGGGCCCTAGGGGCAGACCAGGCCACGGAAGCACTTAGTGGAAGGCAAGCCCAGGAAGAGGTGCCCTTGGCACCAGGCCAGGACAGGCCAGCAGGGTCCTGGGGACAGCCCAGGACAGGCCAGGGGGGTCCTTGGCTCTGGGCCAGGCTGGGCCAAGCAGGCCCATAGTGCCAGGCCAGGCCAGGCCAGGCCTGCAGGATTTTAAGGATAGGCCAGGTCAGGCCAGGGTGGCTCTGAGGCAGTGGGTCTCTGCTGCAGGCCTGGCCAGGCCCACCCTTAGTGGCAGTGGGGCCAATAAAAGAAGGCCTGGACAGGGAAGCCCTTAGTGGTGGGCCAGAAAATGCCAGAGGTGCCCTTAGTGGCAGGGCAGGTAAGGCCAGGGGCTCTCTTAGAGGAAGACCAGGCCAGGCCAAGGGGACCCTAGGGGGGCTCTTTCTTTCTTTCTTTCTTTCTTTCTTTCTTTCTTTCTTTCTTTCTTTCTTTCTTTCTTTCTTTCTTTCTTTCTTTCTTTCTTTCTTTCTTTCTTTTCCTTCCTTTCTTTCTTTCTTTCTTTTTCTTTCTTCCTTCCTTCCTCCCTCCCTCCCTCCCTACCTTCACTAACCTTCACTAACCTTCCCTTAAGCTTCCCTTCCCTTCCCTCCCCTCTTTCCTTTCTTCTTTCCTTCCTTCCTTCTTTCTTTCCTTCTTTCCTTTCTCTTTCTTTCTTTCTTGGGGGCTTTCTCTCTCTCTCTCTCTCTCTCTCTCTCTCTCTTTCCTTCTCTCTTTCTTCCTTCCTTCCTTCCTTTCTTTCTTGGGCACCCTAGGGGACACCAGGCCAGAACAGGGGGCTCCTTAGAGGCAGGTCAGTCCAGGCCAGGAGGGCCTAGGGTGGCTCTTTCTTCCTCCCTTCCTGCCTTCCTTTTCCTCCGGTCCTGCCTTTCCTCCTTTCCTTCCTTCCATCCTTCTTTCTTCCTTTCCTTCCTTCCTTTCTTTCTTTTTTCTTTGGGGGCTCTTTCATTCTTCCTTTCTTTTTTCTTTCCTTCTTTCTTTCATTACTTCCTTCTTTCCTTCCTTCCTTCTTTCCTTCTTTCTTTGGGGTCTGTTTTTTTCTTTCTTTCTCTCTTTCTGTCTCTCTCTCTCTCCTTCCTTCCTTCTTTCTATGTTTCCTTCTTTTTTCTGGCCCACCTACGTCCCTCCTAGCATGCCCTGTCACTAAGAGACAGGAGGCCCTGGCCTGATCTCCCCTTGGGTCCCCAAAAAAGAAAGAAAGGCCCCCCCTGGGCACCCCTAGCCTGGCCTGCCTCTAAGAGACCTCCTGGCCTCACCTGGCCTGTCCTGCCACCAATAGTGCCCCTGGACTTTCCTGGCCTGCCACTAACGGTCCCTGGCCAGGCCTGCTGAGGGTCCCACTGCCACTATGGGTGAGACTGACCAGGTGTACAGAAGAGACCCACTGGTTGGGCCTGTCTCAGGTCTGCCCTGGCCTGGTCTGGCCTGCCTCTAAAAGACCCCCAGGGCAGGCCAGGCCAATCCAGGAGGTCTCATATAGGCAGGTAGGTAGGGCCAGGGGGGCTATAGCACTAAGCAAGCCAAGGGGGCCATGGGCCAGGCCACTCAAAGAGGGTCCTTAGTGGCAGGGCGAGCCAGGCCAGGTGATCTCTTAGAGGCAGGCCAGGGGTCTCTTAGCACCAAGACATGCCAAGAGGGCCCAGGGACAGGCAAGCCAAGGGGGGCACCTAGTGGCAGGGGTTCCCTTAGTGACAGAGTGGCCCTTATGGCTGTGGTCTGCTAGGGGCAGACTAGTAAAGTGGGGCCCTATGGCAGAACAACCAGTGGGTTACTTGGGCAAGATAGGACAGGCTGGCCCTTAGTGGCAGGAGGCTCTTGGCAGCATGCCTGGCCAGGGCAGCCCTTAATGGCAGGTGAGGGCACAGGGGCCCTAGGGGGAGTCCAGGCCATGGGTGCCCTTAGTGGAAGACCAGGCCAGGACAGAGGTGGCCCAAAGTGCCAGGACAGGACAGGATAGCACTTCCCTTGGGACAGCCCAGGAGAAATCGGTGGTCCTTGGCTCTGAGCCAGGCTGGGCCAGGCCAGCAGTGTCCTAGGGACTGTCCATGCCAGGCTAGAGAAGATGTAGGGGCAGGCCAGGCAGGGCCAGGGCTTCCTTAGGAGCAGGTCATGCCAGGTTAGGGGGCACTTGGGGTAGGCCTGCCTGACCAGGGGACCTGTAGTGGCAGGCCATGCCACTCTAAGGTGTCTGTAGAGGCAGGCCAGGGCAGGGG